TGGCCTGACTTTGCTGAGGATTATATAGAACTACCTGCCTTTTAGGATCACCCCAAACTACCTCCTCTGAAACTTAACTTTTCTGGTCATGTCTGCCTGCCCTGTTTCATTTCCTACTTTTCAATAAATTCTCTTTAATCCTGGATACCAACCCCTTTCAAGACCTTTTTAGTAGTCAACAGGCCAAAAAAAAAAAAAAAAAAAAAAAAAAAAAAAAAGTCACCAAGATGAAAGCCCAGAGTTCTCACTCCCACATGCAAGGACCTCAAGTATCCCTGAGCTCAAAAGAAAAGCATAGGCAAATGTCTGGAGTGGCCTGTAAGCTGTCCCTACAATCTGGAGGATGGTTGGGAAGACTCCTCGATTTGGGTTAGAGGTCTTTTCAGGTTGAAGTGGAGGCAGACAGAGGCCATCTAGCAGATTTTCCCAGTTAGTAACTTGGATCTGCTAGGTGGTTTCTCTGAAGATGTCACACCTGGTAGCCTCAGCAGGCAAGGCTGCAGGAAAGATAGCTCACATACAGGGATTCTAACCATAAAACTGGGAAAGATCTGGAAACCATGGCTTTGACTTTTGTAGTTGAATAATGTAAGAAATCCTAAGAATCCAAGATCAAGTCAAAATTGCAAGTATATGATAACTGAAAGGCAGTGAGCTAGAATCTTCATGCACTACAGTTTCTTCTGTCTTTAGTTTCCCCAACTTATTTGTACGATCTTAAATAAAGTATAATAGTCACTGGCCATACAAGCTTTATTTTTTTTAAAGACTCCCACCACCACCTTAAGGTTTATCTGTACACACCCGGGAGGCAGAGGCCGTTCTTCATAATTCGAAGCCAACCTGGTCTACATAGAGGGTTCCAGGACAGATAGTGTTACATAATGCGACTGTCTCAAAACAAAAAAAAAAAAAAAAAAAAAAAAAAAAAACCAACTTATTTTTAATCATATATTGTGTGTGAGTGTAAACCATATTGCCCAGGTCAGAAGAGGACAACAGATCTCCTGGAACTGGAGCTGAAGTTACAAGTGATTTCCAGCTGCCTGCCATCAGTGCTGGGAACCAAACTCAAGACCTCTCCAAGGGTAGTATCCAAGAGTGGTATACATTTTAACCACTGAGTGTCTCTCCAGCCCCAACCCAGGCTTAAATAAAATCTGGCTTGCTGGAAGTTACAAGACTGTCAAGGGTCAAGGGAAGACTCCTGTCAGAGATGACTTGTAGAAACTTGGGTGAGTTTTCTGAAGCACTCCTACAGGCTGTTGGAAGGTGTCATCCTTTACTTACAAGACCAAGAACCTTAATATTAAGGAACAAGGCCAGTTTTCCAGGGCCACCTATTGACCTGTTTTCTTTTTTCAAAATAATTTATTTTATTTGCAGTGGTGCTTTGCTTACATGTGTGTATGTGTAAGGGTGCTCTTAACCACTGAGCCATCTCTCCAGCCCCTTGACCTGTTTTCTTTAAAACTTTCTGCTGACATTATATAGGACATTCCAGTTTGTGGTTTGAATGTGAAATGTCTCCAGACTCATGGGTTTCAACTTTGCTTAACAGCCAATTGTGCTAGTTTGTAAGGCTATAGAACTCTAGGGGGTAGTCTCACTGGAGGGAGTGTGCCTCTGTTTCATGTGCCTATCATAATGCCTTCCTTGCTACAATGATCTGTTTCCCTTCAAACTGTAAGCCAAAACAATCCCTCCCTGCCTCCAGTGTTGTTAAAAAGCCTTTCTAGGTATAGTGGTGTATACCTATAATCCCAGCACTTGAGGGGGAAATGCATCGAGTTTGAGGCCAGCCTGGGCTATATAGAAAGACCTCATTCCAAAACAAAAACAAAACCAAGCCTATGTGGACACTGGGTGCTGGCCATCATTGTTAACAGAACACTGTAAGCAGCTGCAACTCAAGTGAGTTGCTCTTGATTCAATTCTTTCCCCCACCCTCAAAGTCATATCCTTTAATAGATGCAGCTTAAAAAGATTTCCTCATAGACTGAGTTGGGTTTCCCAATATTTATATGCAGAGGGCCTAGGTCAGTCCTATGCAGGTTGTCAGTTCAGTCTCCATGATCGCCTGTGAGCCCATGTTAGTTGATTCTGTGGGTTTCTTGTGGTGCCCTTAAACCTTCTGGATCCTTCTCTTCAGCAGGGTTCCCTGACTTTGGTCTAATGTTTGACTGTGGGTCTCTACATCTGCTTCCACCAGTTGCTAGATGAAGCCTCTCTGATGACAATGGGGCTAGGCACCAATCTGGGGGTGAAGAAGCCTGGCCTCTAGGGGGTGGAATGCTTCTGCCAGAGGTGTGGGCTAGGATTGATTCAACTCTCCACTTATCTGTCGTTCTTTCTCATCTATTGTTTTTTGCTTATGAAGACACATGGCGGTTTAAATGTGAATTATTGGGGCTGGAGAGTTGGCTCAGGGATTAAGACCATGTACTGCATGAACTGCTTTTCCAGCAGACTAGAGTTCCATTCCTAGCACCTATGTCAGATGGCTTACATTCACTTGTCACCAGGTGTTGGTGGCACGTACCTTTAGTTCCAGCACCCTAAGGCTGAAGCAGCTGATCTACAGAGTGAGTTCCATGATAGCCAGGACTATACAGAGAAAAAAAAACCAAAACAGTCACTTGCTAACTCTAGTTCTAGGGAACCCGACACCTCTTATGGCCTCCACAGGCACATGAACAAACAGACACATAATTACAGATATAATTATTTGTAGAGCGTCTTAGCAGTACTGTGTAATATCCATCATTCTTTTCTGTTTTTTGGTGAGTGCACCACTCCTGCCTAGCCCTGACAGATGCCATGTGTCATGCTCTATATGGGTGTTCCAGTTTCTTGAGCCCATCAATGAGTAATTCCAGGCAGGTCTGTACATCATTAACACCTTATGATTGAAATTTTACCTGAAAGCATGTTTTGCTCTTGTTTTATATGTGAAGTTGTATCCAGTAAAATCTACAACACGGCCACAACTCCCAAATCTGGCCAGTTCCATGATTTGGGCTCTTTTTAAACACTTAAATAATTTAAAATTATTATTAATACTTATTTTGGGGGTTGGAGAGATAGCTCCATAGTTAAGGACACTGGCTGCTCTTCCAGAGGACCCAGTTTGATTTCTAGAACTATCATTGCAGCTCACTTCAACTCCGGCCCCATGGGATCTGACATCCTTTTCTGGCCTGTGAGCACCAGGTACGCATATTAGTCATACATGCAGGCAAAACACTTTCATACATATTTTTATGTATAAGTGCCTGCATGTATGAGTGCCATGTGCATGTAGCAACTGAAAAGAGCAAAAGATCCCTTAAGACCAGAGTTATAGGCATGGGTGCTAGAAACTGAACCTGGGGCCTTTGCAAGAGCAAGTGTTCTTAACCACTTGGCCATCTTACCAGCTGTTTTTGGCTCTGAACTAAGTAAGACTCAGCTCTCTACCTCTCCATATCTCAAGAGGCACAACTTTGTGTATGGGTGCTGTACTGGTAATTTTATGTAACTTGACACATTACAATCATCAGGGGAGAGCCTGAATTGAGAAAATACCCCATAAGATCAGGCTGTAAGAAGTATGTAAGATATTTTCTTAGGGGGAGGGCACAGTCCATTATGGATGGTACCATCCCTGGAATGGTGGTCCTGAGTACATAATAAAGTAGGCTGAGCAAGCCAGTAAGGAACACTCCTCCATGGTCTCTGTATCAGCTCCTGCCTGAGATCCTGTCCTGGCTCCCTTTGTTGATAAACTGTGTATGATGTGGACACCTAAGCCCAATAAACCTCTCCTCCCCAAGTTGCGTTGATCATGGTGTTTCATCACAGCAACCACAACCCTAAGAAAGGTATTTTGCTTGTACCTATGTCTGTACACAACATGCAGAACTCACACAGCTCAGTAGTTGTTGGATCCTTGGAACTGGAGCTACAGAAGTGAGCTACCATGTAGGTGCTGAGAACTGAACCTTGGTCCTCTAGAAGAGCAGCAAGCCCTCTAGCAAATGCTCTTTAACCACTGAGCCATCTCTCCAGCCCTAACCTCACAAGCTTACAGTGGTGGCACCTGCCCGGAGCGGCAAGGTGGCATCCTGATACTCAAGAGTGGAATGTGGGCTGGACCACTTCTCACAAAGAACTGTGGCAGAGGGGGGGACGGACGGACAATGCCACTCACTGACTGGGGGCTGTGGGGTAACTTGGTGAGTGTCCCTTGGTTTTTGAGATTAAATTACAAAAAGGCCGTGCCTATTATCTCAATCTTTCTTGCTAAGGTATGGCTCATATGGCAAGAAACTGAGAACCAGAAAGAACTGAAGCTTCAACCTGACAACCCACAGATTCAATTCACTTCAGTCCTGCCAAAAGTGGCTCTAGAGTTTGTGAGGAGCTAGCCAAGGCTGGTGATAATCCCAGTGAAGGGAGCACCTAGAAAAGCCATGCCTGAGCCCCACCTTGCAAGGAAATCCTTATTGCTTCAAGGTTACCGTTACACAACAGTAACTGATGCATTCAAGGTGTCTTAGGCTCTATCACAGTACAGCCTTTGAGCTAAGTTGTTACCTCAAGCCAAGGGATTTGCAGAGCCAGCCCTCCTAAAGGGAACAATCTGCCCTACTCCATGTTCAACTGCCTTGTCTGTAGAACAAACATATTTAGAAGAACGAGGAGCTTGCTCTGAACTCAACACTGGTTTGGTTTTATCTGAGACATGGTATTACTATGTAGCCTTGGTTTTCCTGAAACTCTGGCCCTAACTTACTATTTTCTTACAGAAAAATATTTGTAGCACCGAAGGCTATTTGGGAAGCTAATGCAGAAGAACAAGGCCATTCTGGCCAACTTTATGAGACCTTGTCTCAAAATTACAAAGAGCTGATATGTGGCTTCCTGGCAAACTTCCTGCCTGGCCACAAATCCTCACACATATTCAGTACCCACCGTCATAAGAGAGCCAACAACTTTCTAACTAGTAAAAAGCCACATTCAAAGTCAGACAGAAATTGTTTACTTCATTCAGGCGTTTCCTCTGTTGGCTTCTGCTCTGGAAGCAGCTAGGTCCCCACCTCAATATCACAACTGACTGGACTGAATGAACATGGGCCCCAAACCAGGGCTTTCAGAACAGCAAAACAAAACACCGAAAACCAAGCCTCTCCTTTCACTCAGGAGGGACTGGGAGTCACAGGGTCCAATCCCACCCTGCATCTGTAGACACCTGGGACTCTGAACTGCAAATACAGAAACATGGGTACCAGGCACAAGGCAGTAGCCCCGTGCACTCCAGCTCAAGTATCTGACCACCAGCCTCTTCTAATAGGAATGGACTCACTCTTGGAGTTTAGGCATCTACTTAATTTCCCAAAGAGATGTAAAATCTACCAAAAGGGATACAATGGGCTCAGCTTTCTCATGATAAACTTTCCTGAGTAACAACTTTTGGTTGCTGAGAAACCTCAGCACAGTATTTCAAAGTAGCAAAATCCAGGGCAACCACGGAGTACATCCAGCAGTAGCTTAACACTCAAGGACAGGTTTATGCAGGACAGGTGTATACACACCCCCTTTTCTTCAGTGTACATGGCAAGTAGCCAAGACCCCGATCATTAAAATAAGTTATTTTGTACATTACAGTGCAGAGAGGGAAAGAGCTTTCACAGAGGTGACCAAAAGGCATTGTGTAGAGAAAGTCCCATGGCGAGTGGCAGCTAGGGACTGTGGTCTTCAGGAGCTTGACCCCTGCTCTTTGGCTGCAGAGGCTTTAGTAGCAGCTGTTTCTTCCACCTGCTCTGCTGGCTTTGCCTCCTCTTCCTCCTCATCTTGGGGATAGAGGTCTGGGTATTTCTGCATGCATTCCTGCATGGCCCGGAACTGGTCTATACAGTCTGATCCCTTGATTTCCTCTCTGCTGTAGTGGAAGCAGGAAAAGGCAGACTTGAACTGTTCCCCACAGGGGCCACTTGCCATTCCCCCAAGACATGGGCAATTCCAGTTAATATCTCCATTGGGCAGTATCAAACCTGGAAGAGGAAGATGGACAAGGAAAAGGTGAGAGATATTCTCTATGATCTTGAACATGCAAAGCATGTTTGTTTGGTTCTTATTGCGTAAAAGGCATCTCCCATGACTTCTTTATGTGCCTTCCTGTCTACTGTCTAGTCACCTCTCAGAAATAGAATCAGAATGCTGAGACTTAAAATACCAGGAATCTCCTAAACCAAAGCAAATACTGACCCTCCAGGCCCTGCTTCCTCCCACAGCCCCTCACCATGCTTCTGCTCAGCCAGCCTAGAGAGTGGTGCAAGCATATAGATGTGAAAAGATCTTAAAACCTGTTGTACAATGCAAAGCAAGTACTTTTAGACTAGTGGGGCTGTATTCTTCCTATTCAAATCAAACATTAAGGTGGGGTATAGTACAGAGACAGAGCAAGGTTTGCCATCCAGAAGACCCCAGGCTCAATCCCCAACCTGTAAAAAAAATAAATCAAATTTTTAAGGTAAGTGATTTATTATAAATGAGCTGGAAAGTCAGGCTATTGATGGGTTTTTAGTGAATGCTACACTGACTTCCTTTTGAATTTGGCTTTTTCTATGAACTTTGTTCACATAAAAATAGAATTTTCTAGTTTTCCAAAATGACAGACAATTCTACTCTCAGCTTTGTGATGGACACCGAAGACAGTTTTACTGAAGCAGAGAGTGCAGACAGTGGAGCACTTGCCTCTGGTGTTGAGGAACCTTGGCACTGCAAAAAGCAAGAACAAAAAACAAAACAAAACAAAAACAAAAAACAAAAAACAAAACAAAAAAAAAAAAAAAAAAAAAAAAAAAAAAAGAAAGAAAAAGAAAGAAGAAAAAGAAAAAAGGCCAATACAATCTGAACTGCCACATGATCCTTTACTCCAGTGGCATGCCTTGGTGTGGCTGCAGAGCTAGTGTCCAAAGTCCTAGGCTGAACCCAGCCTCTGAATGCCAGCTTTGAAAGCTTCACTTATCAGCAAATCTGCCCCAACTGTCTTGGGGCAGCAAATGTCACTGGTGCTCTTCAGCAACACCACAGTTGCAGAGTAAGTTCCTGTACATGAAGCTGTGTGACACATGACTGTTTGCAGGTTTCTGGGCTTCAGAGCAAAGTCAGGACAGTAGCAGGGTCCTTGAGAGCTCTACAGCTCCATCCAACCCTAACTCCTTCACTTGCAACCTCTGAGGGACTGTCAATGCTGAACATAATGCTGGCACTGCAAAGTCCAATGTGCTAACCCACAGAACCGCTTTCAAAAGAAATAAATAAGATTGACATTAAAAAACTATAGCTCAGATGCTACCTGTGGCAAAACATACCTGAGACTCCAGCCTGAGCCATTGTTTTGGGACAGAGTCCTAGCTGTACTGGAACCTGCTTTGTAAAGCAGACTGGCTGGCCTTGAACTCTCAAGTACTCTTGTAGAGAACCCAGGTTCCATTTCCAGCACCCATATGGCAGCTCACAGCCATTTGTAACTCCAGTCCCAGGGGCTCTAACACCCTTTTCTGACATTAGCAGGCAATGGATGCATGTTCGAGCAAAACACCCATACACATAAAATAATAATTAAAAATAACAACAAAACCACAACTCAGGTCTACACAGTCCTTGTTTTATTCCTTCTAAGAGCCTAGCAGAGACAGGGTGTAATGTAAACTGGGACATACAACCCACATTCACAAGATGGTAGCTTTAGCAGAAGAACATTTAAAAACAACCAAACATAGCCTATCTGCTCACCTCCAGAGCTCTGTGACTATGTGCAGCTAATGTGGACTCAAAGTAAACAAAGGCCCAGAACTGATGGGAGTTCGTTCATACCTCTTCATTAAGAAAGGCTAACTCAGGTTGGCTACAGCTGCCACTCTCAAGACACTAATACTGTGTGTGACATCTGATTTGCCGATGTTCCCAACACAGTGCTAGGTATTCACCCTTACTTAGCAGAAGATGAACAGGTGAAGGCCCCACTCAGAACATGTATCTGCTTGAGATCAGGTCTGCAAATTCTAACTACAGCCTGTCCTCCAGGATTGCCTACTTTAAACTCAAATCTCTCAACAGCAATTCTCACCTGAAGCACTTATTACAGCGCTGAATTGAGTCTTGTTGATACTATATGGAACGGGAATGCTGCATATACCTACCACACAGCCTGGAGTACCTAGCCCAAAGCCTGTGTAGAGTGACAGACAACCCGTGTCCAAGGGGATACTGTTACATTCGGAGATGAGCCCAGGAGTGAGTGTGTCACAGTTCTGAGCAGAGCAGCTCTGCTGAGTTTTCCTGATTTAACAGGGAAGAAGGACCAGCTGCTTGTCTACTGCTTTCTTGCCTATAAATTAGCTGGTACACATGGCAGGGCTGACCTCAGTAACCTGACAGAGCAGACATCCCTGTCAGTCTTAACTTCAGTTAATCACTTTTGGTCAGTACAAACACGTAGAACCGGGACAGACTGCCTGTTTTAGAAAAAAACTGCTGTCTGCTGGCTTGGCACAGTCCCAATCCCTGGGAAGCAAACACATGCACCACAGAGCTGGCAATCTGTCCATGGCCAAGAGAGCCAGACAAAGTGGGAAAGCAGTGCTCAATACCAAGCCACCCTGGGGTGTGTCTGTGGGTTCCTCATCTCTCACCGTGCTCCTCATAGGGATCATTGGGGTCATCAGCCACCAGCTCTGCACTGCTAGGAGTTTCATGGTCTTCTTTAGTCACAAATATGATCCGATCCTTCCCTATGGTTTGGAGCAGAGGAAGATAGATTCATTGGAGGGAAGTGAAATACAAGACAGCCAATCTGAAGATAGTCCCCTGTATGTGTCCCCATCACTGACTAGACACCCCAGCAGCCGGTGAGCCAGCTGGAATCTACTCAGGTGGTGGGTGAGGAAGGTATAACACCCCACTCTTTAAAATGAGGGCGAAGGGAAGTGTTCCCACCATCCCCCTGTGGAGAGCTGTGGACAACTCAACCAGGAGGAAACTGGAGCACTGTGGCCTGGAGGTCCCCACTCACAGCCGATACAGCTATGAGGCTCTAGAACCAGCCTGGGGAAAATGGCCCAAGCACCAGCCTCTAAAAGTCAGAGCATAGTCAGGGCCAGACATGGTGAGAGGGAAGGAGCCAGGTAGGGTAGATTTGGAGCACTCCTTGGAGTGAGGTCCCTTCCCTCTTCTGTAACAACTCCCCAAAGGGCAGAGTTCAACCTTCTCAGACCCCCCCCCTTTTTTTTTTTGACTTAGGCCTGGCTAAGGTCTTGAGGCCTCCATGGAAAAACAGGAGACCGATGTTTGACATTAGAGTTTCTCCCAATGGTGTAGGGACAAGACAAGCCTATTTGATAGAAACCTTATAGTGATCCCGTAAGGAATCCTGATGATTCCAGCTACTCAGAAGGCTAAATCAGGATAGTGAGTTCAGGACTAGCCTGGGCTACATAGATCCTATTTCAAAAAGCAAAAACAAGTCTTTTTCTTTTTTGAGACAGGTTTCTCTGTGTAACAGCCCTGGCTGTCCTGGAATTCACAGGATCCACGTGCCTCTGCCTCCCAAGTGCTGGGATTAAAGGTGTGTGCCCACCAAAAATCAATTTTTTAAAAGGAAGAAAACAAAGGGCTAGAGTAGCTCTCCAGAACACCCTATGGCTCACCCTCTGACATATTTTGGCTATCAGTTAGTCCCTCCCACTCCCAGCAGCCACACACCAAACATTTCCATTGTGAAACCTTTCCTCAGCACCCACAATGCACAGGGTGTCATCTGTTTCCATGGTGGTTCAATTCTGGATCCTATGTGGCAGTGAGCCCTCTACCCACCACTCCTGAGGGATAGCAGTGCCTTCTATTCACAGGAATTTCTAAAGTCCCTCACACTCAAACTTTCCCAGTACCTACTGTCCTACCCAGCATACTGGGGTGCTGACCTCTGACCTGAGTATAACAATAAGGCAACAGAGACCCACCCTGCCCCAGTCCCAAACTGAGGGAGAGGGAAAGGTCAATGTCTGAAATCCCTAACCCTCCCAGGAACAGTGCAAGGACAATCCTGAGCCTGAGCCTTCTGATGGCCCATCCTGACCCCAGGGGACCTGCAGTCACTAGATCCTCACCCAGAAGGCACACTAGAAGACTTTTCAGGTCTGAGTAAACCTGCCCTTCATGAGTAGCACTGAGGGAGGTAGCAACTGTGAAAGCTGAGGCCAGGCTGCATACAGGTGGCTCTCTGAAAGCTGCCAGCACTGTGTGTATCCACTTTTCTCCCAACACTTTGAAAAGTTCAGGTCCAGGTATGTGAAGGAAAAGTAAGACAAAAGGCTGGAACACCCAAAGAAGAGGCCAGAGAAGGCAAATGTCAGAGAGGCTACCTCAGTGAAAAAGACAGCTTAGAACAGAGGTCTCACACACTGGCAGATAGTAGCAATGGGCAGGTCTCTGCACACAGAGCTAGCTCCAATACCCACCTGGGCTCTCTACCCAGAGGCAGTCTTGGCCTCAGCATCTTACGCACAACACAGCTGGATTGTTCTTTCCACTGTTGGAGAAAGGATATGAACAAGGCCACTGGGCCTTGTTGGGGTGCCTAATGACCCTGGAGATTCTGGCCAGTTTCTAAGAACCCCAAAATCCATTTGCATAACTGCTGAGTACTAAGCAAAAGCAGCTGACATAAGCTTTCACCTCAGCTGTGACAGTTGTTACCTCAGTAGAGCATAGGCCCAAAGGGGAGGGGACAAACCCGGCAATAAGTGATATAGAGACCAGACCTCACCCAGCAAAGCCCAATCAATCTCTGGCACATCCACATGGCCCTAAGCTCCCAGACAGGTTGGGATGAAGCAGCTTAGGGCTCCTTTACATCTGTGGCTTGTTAGCCCTCACATCAATGAACAGGCATACTTCTACTCTCCTTTCTTGAAAGGTGAAGCAGGCAAGACACTTCATGCAAAGAAAATAAAAAGAATTTACATGCATCAAGTGAAGACTGAATGGGGAAGGGGTTGGCTACATCAAGAAAATAAATCAAGTATTGGGATTCCATCTGGGGCTAGAATAAAGCGTTTAAAAGGGACTAGGGCCATCACTCAGGTGGAATGCTTGCTAAGTATTCGAACAAAGGGCCAGATTGATCCCTGCATGAAATAAAGGAGGCAGAGAGGCTTATACCTGCAATCTCATTGGAGATACAGAAGCTCAAGGCCATGGAGCCAGAAGGCAAGAGGTGGCTCTAAGAATTCAGTGTTCATTCTCAGTCTAAATAGTAAGGTTTTGAGGAAACAGCATCTGAAACGGTCTTCAAAGCCTTGGCAACCCCCTGCAGAGCCTTCAGTACACATCTCACCACTTTCCCTATTACTTAGCAGTAATGATCCATCCATCTCGGATTGTTTTAATGCCAACCTCTTCCTCAGTCTGTAGACACGAAACATGTCACCTTGCTCACTACCTCATGACCAACGGCTGGGACATCACTCTGCAATAAAAATGTTTGCATCCACTGTATACCAGGCCTTCTGCCAACCCAGTTTGGTGGGAGAAGACAACCAATTGAGTTTGCAAGACACAAAGTATCAGGGAATACCTGGTGACATTTGGCTGTTGGGCTGTTTTTTTGTTTGTTTCTGTTTAACAGTTCTGGCTGGGCTGGTACTCACTCTGTAGACCAGGCTGGCCTTGAACTCACAGAGACTTGCCTCCCAAGTGCTGGGATTAAAGGTGTATGCCACCACCGCCCAGCTTAGGCTGGTTCTTAAAAGATAAGAGCTGGAGACAACTGAGAAGCAAATGGGAAAACATGAGACCAGAAGAATACCAGTATGGTCACCTAAAGCCTAACACAGTACTTATTTCTAGTTGTTTTTGAGACAACTGAGTGCAACTGGCCTCGCACTCAGCTACCATGTGTAGGGGAATGTGACTTTAATCCCAGTATTTGGGAGGAAGAGGAGAATCTCTTAGTTTGTGGTACATAGTGAGACTGTCTCCAAAAACAATAGTAATAATAAAATAAAAATAGACCCTCCTTCCTGGATTAGCTAAGGTCTGTAAACCCTTCAAGAGGTAGCAGTGTTTACCTGCATAGCTTCCTCACTGTAAGGATTCAGACATGATGACCTGCCCATCACCTGGCAGGATGTAATCATGAAGTACTTTGGTCAGCCCAGGATTCCATGGTTGCATAGTCTGCACACAGGTGCAAAGGACTCCTTTAAAAGAAGGACCCCTGCCCATTTAAGCTCTTTCCCACTATTCCCATGGGGCAGACAGGACTTTTCCTGTCTCCATCTTCTCTTCTGTCCTCTGTTTCTGTGTCTCTTTACCCCTTTTCCCTTTCTAATAAAACTATTCACTAAGCTCTATCTGCCTGATGTGTTTGTTCTTTGCCTCTCAACCTCGCCTGCCATGGAATCCAAAGTTTCCCACAAGTTTAACACTCCAAAAACTTAACATCAACCTGCCAACTGATGGACTGCACTAGACTAGGAGGAAGCAAGAATCATGACGAGAATCTGCTGTCAAACAGTGCTTGGAGATGCAGACCTTTGTATAAGGGGCACCAAGTGCTAACCAGCAGACAGGATCTCAGGAGAGATGTCAATTATGATGCTGGGAAGGAGGGGTCCTAAGGTGGGAGAAAAAGCTGTGCGGTGTTCCTCCTTACCCCTCAGGGATTCCCATGACTACAGTAAAGAAGCTGGCCTACCTAAAATTCTGGGTGACCCAATCGGTAGCTTCGTATGAGTCCTCCAACATTTCTCCCCCGGGCATGTGCTATGTGAATACCAGAGTGAATGATGGCCGACCTCTCAATTTACAAGACTGGAAACTAGGGGCCTGGAAGCTCAGACACAAGGAGCCATTACTACCGGGAGGCCAAGGTGCAGACTAGTTTAAAGTCTTCTAGGCTGCTGCCCACAGGTAACAGAGAAAGTGAGCAGTCTTCAACGTGGCTGGAGACAGTTGAAAGGAAGACCTTTAACAGAGGGCTCCCCACTGGTACTGCGGCTTCATGAGCCCAGTAACCCGTCTTAGCTTACTGTTTGATAAAACATGAACAATAAAAGAATCCGACTTAGGCCGCTGCGTGAACTTTAAAGAGTGCCTGGTAACAGGAGGAGCTCAATAAATACCCTGCCAGAGGCACTTCACCACGCAACACAGCCTATTCCAGCCAAAGTGGTAATTTTCCGGGATAATTAAAAAGCCTATGCGGAGTACAAACACGTGGGGAGTGCTAAAGACGGTGGCTACTAATTCCTAACAGTCCCCAATTTCCAGGCAGATACGACATGCTCCGCACTCACAGGTCTCACCCACGTGAGACCTCCGAGGCCCGGGTTTGAGTGTCACGGTGACCTTGGACGAGCCTCGTTCCTCACGGATCCTCCACTTTTCTCATCTGGAAACCGCCGCGTGAAACCCACGAAGGGCCCACGTCGCCCTGTGGAAACCACCCAACCGCGTGTCTCTCTCAAGCCCGCGCCCGACCGGTCTCCATGGCAGCACCCGACCCACCTTCCTGCCGGCAGTAGGACATGGTTGTTCCCGACGCTCTCAGCTCTGGGAGGAATCCGGTGCGGCTGTAGCGGATACACCTTCACGCAGTGACCTCCCTTCTCCTTTCCTCAGGGTTGGCGGGAGGCACTAAGCCCGCGCGGACCCGCCCCCTCCAGGCCTGCCCACCGCGCGCCTGCCTCCGAGCCAACTAAGCACCAGCGCGTCTTCTCAGCCGAAAACTACATTGCCCAGCAGCCTGTGCGCCCCGCCAACGAAGCAGGTACTACATTTCCCAGAAATCTTGCAGTGCGCACGCGCAACACTAAAGTGCTGGGTGGGCCGAAATTTTGTGGCGGAAAGTGTCCGATAGCGGACTACATTTCCCAGCAGGCTTCGAGATGTGCACGCGCAGACGATTTGCGGGGCGCAGACAACTACTGGCGAGGCGGTAACTCTTGACCTGAGTCCTGCCAGGTCCTGGATTCCACGAGGAGTCTTGCAGCTCTGTAGCAGACAGGAGGTCACCGCATTCTGCATTCCGGTCGTCAACCTAATTCCTAGCAGAGCTGTGCTAGACCGCGGAGGCGAGTCGGGCCCACCATGGCCGCGAACGTGAGTACTTTATGATCCCCTGACCACACTGTCATTCGGGCTACTTCTTCCCCTGTTCCACGGTGGGTCTTTGGCGATGTCCAGTGGGTGCGGCGGCCCTGATCTCCATGCTCTCGTCCACCTCACACTCGGGCCGTGCGTTTGTAGAACGCTCCCCTCAGTCGAATCCGCTCGTGCGTGATTGCTCCTTTCACTCCTAGTTTCTGTCTGGGCCCCTGGGGGTATGAAGCTTGGGGAGAAGGGTCGCGAGGAAAGTGTTCCTCGGTGGGCTTATTGGTGAGGCGATCCCGCCCAGGTGGAGCTGTCCAGCAAAGGCTGCTCTGACCTCCACGCTATAGGGGGTGTGTACACCTAGGCAATGATGCTACTGTAGCAGGACCAGCCTGGCTAGATGACCAAGAGAGGGAGGCTTTTCTCTACCATCCGGTCCCTGATGCACTTATTTGGTAAGAGACATTGACTGAGGATAGTGCCCCCCCCACCGTCCCCCAATACTTCCAGGTCTCTGGCGTCTTCCTACTAGAATTAGTCTTTAAGAACTTTACTAGTGAATTCTAACATTCATTCAACAAGCAGAGCAGCACCACTTACTAGGGGACTGGGTGTGGGAGAAGCTGGTGACTCACCACTGCCTCTGAAGCCAGCTCAGAAATGCTGCCAACCCCAGGCACACCCTCTCTCCCTTCTTAGTAGAATGTCATTGCCGCCCTCTTCCCAGGCCTCTCCTCTGTCCGGCAACCCTCTTCTTGGCCTCCTACACCTCCCGAGAGGCCAGAGTTTGTGGGACCCACTGCCCAAGCAAAGGCTGCTTGGCACATTGTCAGGCCTGGAAGGGAGGAGAACCAGAAGTTAGGAAAGTTGCTTTGGAGCCAGAGGAGAAGGCAGCCTGTGGACCAGCCTAACAGGAGCAGGTGGGCTCCTGCTGGACTTGTTGTTGTTGTTGTCGTCGTCGTCATCATCATCATCATATTTTACAGTTCATCGTCATCATCATCATATTTTACAGTTCCCCAGCAGAAGACACCAGCTCAGGGGTGCTAGGCTAGCTTATGCCTCAGCACCAGCCTGGGAAGGTGACGAGGGCAGGCTCTGGAGTCAAGCCTAGAGGAAAATCCAAATTCTTCCACTCTAACTTCTCTGGGTTCTCTGTCTCGTGGGATCAGTTACTTTGAAGTTTGAGGAAGATTGCTAGGCACAGAGCCTGGTACATGGGAGGTACTTAACCCATGAAAAAGTCACTCTTACAGGCTAGTACCCACAGTTCTGGTAGGTAGAGACCATCTTGGGTATGTTGGAATCTGACTGTCATTACCAACAAACAGACACAATGGGATATTTTCAGTAGCCATGCTTTTGTCTACCCATTGTTACATTACTTTCCTGGAAAGACTTGAATGAACATCCATTCAGTCAGACAGGATAACCATAGACCAAAGGAACAATTCCACTAACTCCATCTTGATGAACCAAGGAAGTTACTGGCCATACTTGCAGGAGCATGGGTAACTCCCAAACAGCTACATCACCAAAGTCCCGCATCAACATAGGTGACCACCTCTGGAAAGCTGCATAAATGAAGTGTCATCCCCTTTGCTTCCAGGCCCCCTTCAGTTAGCCGTCTACCTCCTGTATACCCTAGCAATACTATATACTCCTGGGGGTGGGACATAGGAGGAAGTGAGTGGCTGGAATCGAAGCCACTCTTCCAGGGAACATGCCTGATCATGTGAGGGGCCCATGTGAATAATCCTTATTTCAAGATGGCAATGACTGTGTCATGCCTAGCAGACAGAGTACCAGAGCATCCATACTATAGCTGAACCACCAGACAGGGTAAGCAAGAAAATCTTAAGACAGTGGGTGGAGCAGAGGCACCTGATTTCAGAATAACAGCTGTCTTGTCAGGTAGGTATTATTACCAGCAAGTGAGGAACCAGGACCAGAGAGGTGGAACATGTTACCAGGCTCACACAGCAACAGAGCTGGGATCCTAACCATGATGTGCCAATTTCCAGGCCCAGTGTTCCCACCTATTGCTTTATTGCTTATTGATTCTGAGTCCAGAATATGTTACGGAGGATACGTAAGTGTATGAATACACATGCAAATACATACACCCATATAGGTGCCATTTCCCATCTCACCCCTCCCTAGCTGGAGGAATATCCTCCTGGCCTCTCTTCTTTCCTGGGCTTAGGAAGAGCAGGAAGAACACAGGTTTCCTTTTTCTGTTTCCAGTTGTTCAGATCACATTATAGCTAAGGTCACTTTAAGGGGCGAGGAAGGCAGTCTAGGACAGAGGGATCTGGCTGGATTTGAACACTCACTCACTACTTATGAGCTTGGTCTGGGCAGATATCCTAAGCAGTGAGTCCTAATTTCCTCATCTGTGAAATGGGGTAGTGCTAGCCTCTTCCACCTTGAGCTGGCTCATGACTGGCCTGGCTGATGGTCACCTTGTCTGAGTTTCTGGGTTCAGTGGGTGTCCTCAGCAGGCCTGAGCCAGCTATGGAGAGCAGCCACAAGTGGAATCAGCTGTGCTCATGGACTCTGATCCAAATCTATCCTCTGATTCTGGATAGGAAGGGGCCTGGCTCTCTGAGGTGCCTGCCTGGTGATCACTCTGTGTCTCTGTGACTTTCATTGACACCCACAGTCTGGGTGGCAGCCCCAGTTTCAGTTATGGAGAGATCTGATAATGTTCCTATTAGCTGTAACTCCTACACGTGCCTGGGCACCGAGCCACCACCCCAAGCATTGAATGGTCACCTCCACTTTATCCATGAAGAAATGGAGGGCCCACAACTAGTGGGTGGCAGAACCAGGATTCTGGTGCAGTCTCTGCTTTTGGTGATAACACTGGACATACTTCTGACTGCAGCAAGCAAGGCAAAGCCTGCTCCACTAACCTGTGGCTTGTGGCCTACTGGATGCTGCCCGGGCATGCCCACCTGCAGTCTCTCTAGCAGCTCTCCACAGCCAGAGCAGACAGGATGCCACTCCACATCAGTGCTCCACAGTCCCCTGCTGAGGGCACCTTTTCCTGAGGTCTGCCTGTATGCCCCTCCTCCACGTAGCCTGTCTTGATGCCTTAGCTGGAAGCTATACCCAGCTCGGGCCCAGCTCTCACTGGACACTCAGCACAGCCTCCTGGTAGTTCTTAGAACTGTGACCCAACTGCCCAAAAGGCCACCCTACCACTCTCCCAACCTCACAGAACAGCACAGTCCTCAGGAAACCCAGCCACTACTTCTCAAATTTAACTAAAAATACATTTTTAGCTGCTTTGTAAAATAGCTTGTTGGTGCCTTCAACACATTCTTAAACATTTGCTTGACATATGCTGAACTTAATGGCCTAGAAATTCTATTCCAAAGTAGAATTGACCCCAGTGTCTGTGGGGAAGAGGGGTTCTTCTGGGAACAAGAATAAATTATTTTGGACACAGAAATCATCTCTCAAAACTCTTCAAATGATCAATTTGCCCTCAGTATTCCAGTACTGGCAGTAGGAAGGAACATGTGAAAGTGACATCCGAGCCCCAGCCAGGCTTCCTGGAGCGCCTGAGTGAGACTTCTGGCGGGATGTTCGTGGGACTTATGACCTTCTTGCTCTCCTTCTACTTAATTTTCACCAATGAGGTAAGATGCCGAGTAAGGATCCAGTGGCTGGGCTCTGAGATAAAGGGCCTAGGTTTTACGGGCAGGAAAGGGTAATGCTTTGTGTGGTGTAAGCCAGAGCGGGCAGTGAGTCAGTTCACAAAGCTGAAAACCTGCTTCAGGCACAGCCGTGTTCAGCTCTCATGCCGGATCACTGGAATTCTGCCTCTTTGTTGTGACCGTTTTGGGGGCAGCCTCTTCCCTTGGGTAAATGTGGCCCCACCCAGTATTTTCATTCTCACCTCCAAGCAGCTTAGAATCCGAGAGAATAGGGGAACCATGCCTTTTAAAATCAGTTTAGCAGAAGTTACAGCTATCTCTCAAGTTCTTGGCTTAAGTCTCAGCCCCACCTGACTGCATGGCCTGCAAGGGAAGAGGAGTAATCAAGAAATGCTGAACCTGCCACCCTAGGTTCTCCCTGAGGCTCCTAGCGTCTTTGGGGGAAGACAGCTGAATTGTCAGCTAGGCTGAAAACACACCTGGTTGGCCAGTCCCAGATCACATGGTTTAGATAGTGGTTCAGATTGGCTTTCGTAAGCCACTTGGTTTGGGAGGAGGGAGAATGGAAGGCAGAGGCAAGCCTAGGCACCGGACTGGTACAGGGCAGGGAGACACAGAGCTATTCCCAACTTCAGGCAGTCTGAGATTGGTTGGGTCTGCCTGGTGAAGCAGAAGTCCTGGGTTCCAGTCTTAAGTCTGCAGTTGCTAGACCTCAACATCTCTGCTTGTCAAGGCCCATCCTTCTCTGTGCCCACAGCAAGGTGTCAAGCAGCATCTGAGCTGTTGAAATCCCTTCTTCTACCCTCTGACAGGGCCGCGCATTGAAGACAGCCACCTCTCTTGCAGAGGGGTTGTCACTTGTGGTGTCCCCAGACAGCATCCACAGTGTAGCTCCAGAGAATGAAGGGAGGCTGGTGCACATCATTGGGGCCCTGCGGACTTCCAAGGTAGGCTGGATGATTGGGTGGCAGTTCCTGACTGTGGGAGTCGGACCTCAGAAACAGACCCACGTGGGTGTGATGGTACCCTCTGTGGCTCTGTGGTCCTGTGGTCAAGTGACTTGTCAGTCGCAGTGTCCCTTGGGCTAACTACAACAGTCTCATAGTCATGTGGTGAGAGCATCTCAAATTACAGTCAGCATAGATAGTCTAATGATCAGAACTCTGCTGTTGTCTGAGCTCAGGGTCATGGGCATTGTGCTGAGAACTGAGGCTGGCAGCTTCATGCTAGTCTCCTTCACCTTCTTTTCCAATCCTGCCCATCTTTATCTCTCTTGCAGTTGGGCTGCTCTGGGCTGGGGACCTCCATGAGTCTGGCCTTTACACTTTTATTTGTTTGATTCTTTTTGAAGCTCTTGTCTGACCCAAACTATGGGGTCCATCTTCCAGCTGTGAAATTGCGGCGGCATGTGGAAATGTATCAGTGGGTAGAGACAGAAGAGTCCAGGTGAGGAGCCAGGCATTGGAGGGACTGCAGGGCATGAAGGGCTCAGGTGTTAGGCTTTCATGAAGACACCATTTAACCAGATTCAAAGTGTAGGGTCTGCCTATCAGAAAAGTGTCAAACCCCAGCATTACTGCATGGTGGTGACCTTTTATTTGAAGGTGACAGCAATCTAGTGCAGAATGGGCCAAAGCAGAAAGGGAGCTAGCTGCTCAGCTTATTTACCTGGACATCCCAGATGCACATCCCAAGGCATGACATTTCAGGCTCAAACGGTGCCACTAGGATTAGTGTGGTCTCCCACCACCAGTCCCCACTCAGCTTTTCCTGCATTGGGTCACCCTCTCACAGAGGGCACTGGTCACTTCCCAATTAACTCACAGCCTATCAGAAGGCCCAAGGAAGGCTCTCAGAGGCCAGGGCAGTCACCTGGAGCCAGAACCAGACTCAGTCCCACCTGAACGGCCAGACCTGTGAGGGGAAGGGAGTAATCAAGGAATACTAGAGAAGATCCCCTGCTACCCTCGCTTCTCCCAAAGGCTGCTACGATATCTCTTTGAGCCCAAGGCTAGATGCCTTTGGGTGAGCCAGCTGGAGTGTGTCAACTAAGCTGAGAAAGCATGTCGCTCCAGGCAGGCTGTCTAGAGATAGTGCCTGCTCCATGGTGGCTGGGGACTGTCTGTCCTGAGCCCACCAGGTTTCCATTCCCTGTGGGGAGCTGAGCCTTGAGGCCATCTCAGACACTTAGAGCAGATGGCTTTGGGTGCCTGAGCTGACTCCTGCTGCCTGTGCTTTCTCTGCAGTGAGTACACGGAGGACGGACAGGTGAAGAAGGAGACCAAGTACTCCTACAGTGAGTCCCAGATCCTCCAGGCCTCTGTGCATCCCCAGGACATGTGACTTCCACCCTAGCCCAGGCTGGCAGTGGTGGGCTGCACACTGTGGGTGGGTGTGGAAGGCCACAGCACCAGGCAGAGTTCCTGGGTGCCAGTCCTCAGAATCCTGCCTGTCCATCCAAGGAGGCCTGAGCCGCCAGCCACCCTGGTCCCCAAGGGTCATGGGTGCTAGGAAGAGGATGTGGAGACCAGTCTTAAACTGGTCTGAATTTCCCATTCTTTTTCTTCATGCAGACACAGAATGGAGGTCAGAAATTGTCAACAGTAAAAATTTTGACCGAGAGATTGGCCACAAAAACCCCAGGTGAGAGCTTGGCCCTCGGTCAGAGTCCAGTCTTGCTTACCCTTGCAGGATCCAGCCTCAGTTTCTTATCTGAGTGATGGGTTAACTGCCCCACGGGTTAGCAAACACAAGAGATGTAGTTGGCAACACCAAGCTATGTGTTGACATCAGGAGCACAGATCAAGACCTGGTCTTTGCTCACACTCAGGTTAACACAGGCCTAGTGAAGGACTTAGAGGTCCCTCTGTGCATTGAAAGGCCTTGTTACTGTTAGCCAGGTAGGGGGCTCTGCGGGTAATATTAAGATTCCTCAGTGGGAAATCACTCCATGGCATGGGGTGATGTAGTACTTGGGCATGGCTAGATTATATGAAGCCATGGTCCAGGTTGAGCCAGGAAGATAGTCAGTACTTGGAGACTGCCCAAACTGGAAGCGGGATATGGTCCAGAAAGGCTCCATTTCATGGCTAATTGTAGCAGGCCTTCAGGGGCCACCATCCCCTAAATCATGACCTGGAGACCTAGTTATGAATGCATAGCCTTATCTTATGCTTGCCTCACTAGCTCTTTTTTGGTTTTTCGAGACAGGATTTCTCTGTGTATCTCTGGCTGTCCTGGCACTCACTAGCTCTGTAGACCAGGCTGGCCTCGACTCACAGAGCTCCGCCTGCCTCTGCCTCCCCTGTGCTGGGACTGAAGGCGTGCTTCCTACTTTCACTGCCTTTTCTGTGTCTGGCTGGCTGGCAGCCTTTCTCCCTCATTCTCTTCTTCTCCTCTCTCCCTCCACCACCCCCATCCCTCCCTGCCCAGCTATTGGCCATTCAGCTTTTTATTAGACCAATCAGATACCTTAGGCAGGCAAGGTAAAACAGCAACACATGTTTACATAATTAAACAAATACAGCATAAACTAATGTAACACATCTTTGCCTAGTTAAACAAATACAGCACAAACAAATGCAACACATTTTTACCTGGTTAAAGTAATATTCCACAACTAAGGACATGTAACACATCTGTACCTAGTTAAAGTAATATTCCACAACAGTTGATAGGATGGGACAGGCTGGGTAAGAGAATGTGCAGCTCCGGGTGATGAGACAGAATGGGGGTGCTCAGCCCAGACTGGGAAACAGGAGTCCTGGTGGTCACACTATGCCTAGACTTGCAGGATTTACTTCCTGGGTAAGGACTGTCTTCAGCATATTACAACCAAAAGGTGACTGGACAGCTCTACCCTGGTGCCCCATTATTGGCTGCCCCCTCTCTCTTACAGTGCCATGGCAGTGGAGTCTTTCACAGCGACAGCCCCCTTTGTCCAAATTGGCAGGTTTTTCCTCTCAGCAGGTGAGTCTCTGGCCTTCTGTGGCGGTGCCCACCCAAAGGCCTTTCTATCTCCTTGACCTCTTCCAGGTTTGGGACCCCAGCACCAAGCAGGCCCATACTCAGTATCAGGGTCTAGCTGGCCTCCATCTCAGAATCATTTTCTGGGCTGGGGTCAGAGGGAGGTGAGTCCTCAAGGGGTGAACCCCCACTCTAGGCAGTTCCTTTGGATTGTTCTAGAAATTGCCCTCGGTGCTACACCCTTGTCACATTTCTGTGCATGTCTGTTCTGAGCAGACATTGCACCAGAGATCTGCCTCAGGCGGCCCTCAGCCAAGAGTTCAGACAAGGCCCTCCCTCCCTCTGACCTTTGCTTTCTCCTGTGTGAGCCCTACCTGGCAACCAGGGTTCCCACAAGGAGGTGCATCACTGCCTCCTCTGTGACTCTAAGGAGAAACCCTCAAGGTTTAAGGTGGTACCATGAGTCATAGTAATGCTCAGATTCTATCTCTGGGCCGAACCTGGGGAGGTGAGAAAGGAGACGCTTGAGACCCAGATAGCCAAGCTTAGCATGGTTGTCCCAACTGGTGCCTGTGGTAGAAGGACCTCCAGCCTAGATGTGGATGAGTATTTCTGAGGACAGATAGTCACTCTCAGAACTGTGGCTGGGCTGGCTTAGCAGGAGAGGGCATGGGAAAGTCTTCCTGGAAGAGTTAATAATTGAGTTGGGCACAGGGAAGTTCTGGAGATGGAGTTGGGAAGGGGCATTGCAGCTGGTGTGGTGGCAGGTGCCTATCATCCCGGCTGTCAGGGAGCTGAGGCAAGATTAACAAGTTTAAGGCTAACTTGGGCTACATAGTGAAAACCATGTCATGGAACAAAAATGAAAACATGCATGACAATGTAGGCTTGTCATCCCAGCACTTGAGTGAAGACAATAAACTCAAGAAGTCAAGGTCGCCTTCATCTCTGAGTTTGAGGCCACCATGGGCTGCATGAGAGCCACTACCTAAAAAAAAAAAAATGTTCACTTCATTTGGGAGCTAGCCAAAAGCCAGAGGCTGGGTAATAATATGTGACCCTGCTGTCTAAAGACACCAAGAACAGGGTGTCAGACTACTGGGTTAGCAGAGCAGGGGTTCTCAGTGGAGTCCATGGTTTCTGAGCCTTCTGCTTCCTTCAGGCCTTATTGACAAGATTGACAACTTCAAGTCCCTGAGCCTGTCCAAGCTGGAGGACCCCCATGTGGACATCATTCGCCGAGGAGACTTTTTCTACCACAGTGAAAACCCTAAGTACCCAGAGGTACGTGGACACGAGGGCTGCTCACACAGCAGAGTCCAGGGCTTTTGGGTAACACAGAGGGTAGCACACAGCAGCTGAACCCAGGCTGCACTTGGCCAGTGAGACTGGAGATGGGCAGGCCTCTAGGGAACAGGACAGACTGGGTGAAAGAGTAAACCCAGCCAGGTGCTGGACCGCCATGCACTAACTCTCCTGCTTTTCTTTCATCCTCAGGTTGGTGATGTTCGAGTCTCCTTTTCTTACGCAGGACTGAGCAGCGATGACCCTGACCTGGGCCCCGCTCATGTGGTAATCTGCTTCCCAGGAGCTGACCCCAGTCATGAGTCCCTGGGCCCAAACACCTTGGGATATGTCCTGACCCCTTTACACATTTATTTACACAACCAGCAGGCATGCTCTTAGGCAGGTCTGTGTTCACCACAGTGGCTCCTGGACTCCAGCGTGGGAGCCACAGACCTCATGGCGCTAGTCCAATCATGACAGCCCCTTCACCCAGCCATAGTACTTGGTCTTGGTTCTTCATAGTACACAGTCAGAATGCCACCCCAGGGCCTGACCAGCTAGGAGGCAGAGGGAAGACTCTCAGGGCTCAGGCAGCCATGGTGCCTGAGTACAGATGATCCAGGCATGGTCTGGTTGCTTGGTATGCATATGCATCTTCATTCATCTGGTGCCCACTGTGACCACCAGTCCAATCCATAAGTAGCTCTCAGTCTAGAAGGACAGTAGACCAGTTCCCTGCTGGAACCTCCTTCTGCAGGGGTTCAGGTCCCAAAGAGAATGTGTGGGAGGCTGGGGGTGGGGGATGGACATGATCTGAGAGTCAATCAGGATGGCTGCCAATGGCATTTATTGAAAAAAAGAATACACCTTTTATACTCTATAGTTGCACATAGAATGAAAGGGGAGAAAGGGAGCATGTGGCTTGAGACCAGAAGTTGAGGAATCTAGCATTGACCTTGACAGTAGGCACCAGCCTTATGTTAATGAAGGGCCACATGTTCCTTTTGCCAGAGATAAGAAGAGTAACTTCCTTTATAGCAAACAGGAACTTTCTTCAAGTCCCTGAGGGAATGGGAAACCTTATCGAAACATCTGACCTTGGGAAAAGAACTTTCTAGAACTAGACACTCAACAGGGTTTCGCTATAGCTTTGGAGCCTGTGGCTGACCTTGAACTCACAGAGATCCACTTGCCTCTGGGATTAAAGGTGTATACCACCACTGCCTGGCTCCTCTACAATTTTTAAGAACAATTTTCATACCTGAAGGGGATAAGCACTGAGCTGTTCCCTAATTGGGTCCCTTTGTGTCTTAGTCTTACTATTTGGGCCTGTTCCCCTCATGGGCTCCAAAAGGAAAGAAGTCTTGTTCTTTCCTTCTGACTCCTCTACACTTATTAACTGAACTCTTGCCCTTAATGGCCTCAGGCTCTGGATCTGAATTTTATCCTTGGGGTCAGGTATGTCTAGTAAATCTCTAACTTCCCTGTTCTTGGTGTAATTAGGAGGGTACAATGGAATTCCTGTTTCTAGTGGGATTTTCTTTCCAAAGAACTATTTTGGTTAGAGAGGCTAACATTTTCATCCTTTACCAAGGCCTGCACAAAATTTCCCAAAGGGAAAGGCATTAATAATGAGAATCATTAAAAGTGACAGTAAGAAAGTGCTACACACGCGTGGTCTGCAATGTCGAAATGCTGGAACTTTGTCAAGCAGCAACAGTCACCATGCAGTCCATGCCATTTGCCTGTGTAGGCTGCCCCAACTTCTGCTCTGCCCCAGCACGAGTCTGAGGGGCAGGCTGTGGGTCTCATCCTGTGCCTCTGTCCCTCAGAGCACCCCACTCAGCTCTAATACTGACTTTTCTGATCAGGTTACTGTCATTGCCCGGCAGCGAGGTGACCAGCTAATCCCGTACTCCACCAAGTCTGGGGACACATTGCTGCTCCTGCACCATGGGGACTTCTCAGCTGAGGTGAGTTAATGCTGCCCTGCCTGTGTGTTGGGGACAGACACGTCCCACCCTTCTTCCCAGTGCTATTTAAAACACTCTGCTACTAGAGGTCATGGCCCATGCAGTGTGGCAAGAAAAGGAGATAGGGCAGCGGCCTCCTGTGTGAGCAGGCACTGAGGACTGACACTGCCTCCTCAGTTTGTCAGTCTTGTGGGGCGAGAATGGTGAGTGGCCAGGAAGTGAGGACAGGAGTGTGGGCAGCCTTATTCCAGCATGGTGGGTCTCTAATAGACAATCAGTTTCTATGGCCAGGGCCTCTGTGACAAGCCATTTTTGTAGAAGTCCTCAAAATGAATGGGTCTATCCTAGAATAATTAAATCAGGCAGGAAAGGGTTCACTTTGTCAGTGGGTACCAAGAGAAGAAAGGACAGTGTGGCTGCAAGGTTGTCATAAGGCAGAGGCCACTCTGAGTTGCTTCTTCCTTCAGGCATGTCAATGGAGGATTTGGAGCTGCAGTATCAGGGCCATGTGCGTGAGGCCCACAGTCCCCTGGGTATACCTTTCCCAGTGCTGATTGCTCAGTTCTGTGTCTTTAGAATAGAGCAGCGTGGATTCTGGCTCTTGCTGGTCAACCCAGTGGATCTCTACTGGGCCTTCCTGTGTCTCTTAAGCAGATTTGTGGATTTCACCCAGAACAACCAGAAAAGGCCAAGTACAAGCTGGCCTCAGAGAATAGCTGTGGCCCTTCTGCTACTGAGTCCTCAGCTGCCCTCTGTCCTCCCTCCCAGCCACAGCAGTGGGACATGATGTTTGGGCCCCACCTGATCCTTTTACCTGGCCAAGATAGGGTGTGGTCAGTCTGTTATTGGGGAGCCTGGTTACCAGGCTCAGGGTGGAGCTGCCACCTCCCAGCCTGGGCTATGAGTCATCCCAGGAACCGCTCTAAAATTAGGAAACCCTGTCCTTTCTCCCAGGGCTTTGCCCAGCCCCTGGTTTCCAGCCTTCTCAGGCAGAGTCTCAGGTCTCTGGGGGTCCCCAGAGGGTGGTGGGTGGGATGTATGGTTAAGGAGGCCTGGGAGGGAAGGTTTGGCTAGTACAGGCAAGCAGGCAGACCAGAACTGAGAAGAAGGCTGGTCCCTAAAGTCAGAACTCCGGAGTCTGGAGAGTTCAGAAGCCTAGATCACGGCACTACCCACGGATCCCTGTCAACCTCCTGTCTAGTTCTGGCTCTGCCTCTCACCAACCACAGACCTTGAGCCCATTTCCTCATCTGTGAAACGAAACATTTTTAAAAACCCATCTCATGTGGTAGCTGTTCATGCGGTTCACACCTGCTCACTGTGCACAGGCATATCAGAAGGGCTTTCCTGTTAACTGGCTATGGTGGAGCCATGGGGTTGTAACCCCACACAGCCTCTGCTTCCTGTCTTGGTAAAACAGAGAAGATCTGATTAGGCGATTTTAAGTCAGGTCAGTGTGCTTGTAAACCACAGGTGTCCATCTTTGCATGTTGTGTTAGAGATTAGATAGGAGTACTGTTCAATCATCCCGGGAAAGCCTGTCAGAAGAAACCACATCTTATCCAAGACTGGAGGATAGTGCAGAGCTGCTGGGCAGCTGTGAGCAGTCTGTACATGGCAGTACACTTGACCTGGTCTCACTGTAGGTGGCCCAGGCCCAGATAGAGGGTCAGAGGTGGGAGGGCCAGGGCAGTTGCTGTGTGAGAATGAGGTGGGGTGAGGAAGCAGGGAGCCCTGTGAGGAACAGTGATGATGTGGCTCACAGTAGACAGAGGAGAAATGGCTGACAGAGCTTGCATATATGGTGAGGGGCCATCACACCACACCTGACCCCAGGTTTTGGCTTGTGCAGGTGGGTGGGTGGGTGGTGGGGTTATGTGCTGCCTGCCATGGGGCAGACAGAGAATCAGACTAGGGTGGGGCTCTGAGTTGATGCTCAGCATGCCAGGAGGCTGGGACAATGTGTAGGAGTCAGTGGGGGCCAGAGGCAGTCCAGCCCTAAAACAGAGTTGGGAATGTTAAGTTTGAGTACAGGCACATGGAACCATGGGATACATGGGGGGACCTGGACAGAGTAGATGAAGCAGCCAAAGGATATCAGCATTTATAGCCAGGAAGATAAAAATAAAAAAACAGGGACAGCAATGGGGTCAGAACGGCAGAGTAGGAGGGAGACTGTTGGTGCCAAGGGTCCTGAAGCTGCAAGCAGTATCCTGGGGTTGAGGGCTAATGCTTCACCCAGATCAGCATGGACTTTCAAACTATCCACCCAGAAGGGTGGGAGCTGCCCCCGTATGGACAGCTGCAGTGGGAAGGGTGGTGGCCATCTTCCAGGTGAGACCGTGTCTAAGGCCACAGATCTCTTATTCCGTGTTGAGCCAGGCAGGCAGGGACTTTAGACACTGGTGAGAGGTTTGCCTGTCTTCCTGTGTCCTGTAAGGAACAACCCACTCCCCACAGGACCCACACTGCTGGTCAGTGACTCCCTGGGTCCTGACACCAAGCCACCTTGTCTTACAGGAGGTGTTTCGTAGAGAACAGAAGAGCAATTCCATGAAGACATGGGGCCTGCGGGTGGCTGGCTGGATGGCCATGTTTATGGGCCTCAACCTCATGACACGGATCCTGTACACCCTGGGTAAGTGAGAAAGGTACAGGAACCATCCTTCCCTCCGGAGGTCCTGTGTTTGTCATACTCCATTGGTCATCCTTTCAGCCTGATGGGACCCTTGAGAAAGACACCAAACATCTGGCCTGTCTCTATGTGTGCCCCCCCCCAGACAACCCGCTCCCCTCCGCTTGAAGACAAATATCAAGGAGAAAGGCAGGTGTGAGGGACAGGATGTTCACACCTGCTGAAGGCTGGAAGGCTGGTCCAGTTTCCATGACTTGGCCTGCTCTGCTCATCCTTAACTTCATAACTGGACAGCTATAGGAAAGAGGCCTGCCAGCCTGTGCTATGAACTGGATCTGTGCCTGAAGCCCCTCAATTCAGAGTCATGGATACCCTTGCCTAGGAGTGTTCTGTATGGATACACCCTCCAAACCCAGGCCAGATTTGCAGCAGCTAACACATCTGGACCCTGAGGAGGGGCTGCTCACTTGCCCTAAGTCTGGCATCAGAGAGCTCAAGTTTTAAGTGTTCAGGACCTGGTGCCCAGGACATGGAGTGTGCCAGGCTGACATTGTCCATGCAGGATGAGCACCAGCTCAGGGAGACTCAGTACCCAGGTCTCTGCTCCAGTATGTCCCCATCCAGCTTTCTTGTGATGCCAGCAGAAATCCTTCCCCTACTTAGGTCTATGGAATGGGGAGAGGTGTGGCTGGAGCACATCCCAGATTGACAGCAAGTATTGGGGGTTCAGAGGGATTTCCTCATTTACAGATGGGAAACTAAGGTCATTCCCTCAGACTTCCCTTCGTCAGCCACATTGTGGGCATGACAAAGAATGGTCAGAATTTAAACAGAACTACCTTGGCCATGTGACTGAGGACAGGGCGATCCCTCTGAGTCTCAGCCCCACCATGTTTGAGAAGCCCTGTCTGTTTCTTCCACTGATGGCAGGTAGGGCTGATTTAGAGTGGAGGGATAATGGGAGCTGTGGCAGGGCTGATGTAGTCCTGTCCATCAGTCAAGGTGACCTACTGAACACCAGGTACTTCCTCTGCAGGCTGGCACAGTGGCTCACAGCTCAAAATCTGAGTGGTGTAGAGCAGCAGCATTGGCTCTGTGGGAGAGAGGGTGTTATGGGTGACTTTTCAATGGCCTCAGTGTGGACTTTGAAAGTCCAAGGCACCGAGGAGCCATCTAGGGCAGGGAGCAGAGTGTCCTCAGGGACTTATGGCATTTTTCTTTTCCCACAGTGGACTGGTTTCCCGTCTTCCGAGACCTGGTCAACATTGGCCTGAAAGCCTTTGCCTTCTGTGTAGCCACCTCACTGACCCTGTTGACTGTGGCTGCTGGCTGGCTCTTCTACCGACCACTGTGGGCTGCTCTAATCGGCTGCCTGGCTCTGGTGCCCATAATCATTGCACGGACCCGGGTGCCAGCCAAGAAGCTGGAGTGAAGGGTTTGGTGTTCACCAGCTCACATCGTCTCCACCCACTTCTTGTCAAAATGCAGCTTTGGTGGCCAAAATGCAGCTTTTCTGGGCAGAAGCAGCCTGAGGATGGTGACCCAGTGAGTACTGTCCTGCTTAATGCCTTCCCCTCTCAGAGCTCTATTCCACTCAGCTGTCAGCTGACCTGCTGGTGAAGGACTCGGCCTGCTTACTGCCCATCCCTCACTGCTGAAACCAAGTGCCTGGACTGCCACAACCTCCAGCTACAACTGGAACCCCAGAATGCAGCCATCACCCACAACTTCTGGCCACATCTCATGAGTATGACACACCATACCCAAGCCTGGAGAAGGTCCACCCCAAACCAAGTCTCTGGGTAGAACCTGAGGTGGCCTAAAGAAACACTGACGACCTGTCTTAGCCCAAAGGTCACTGTCACTGTGGCTGGACAGTGTTCTGGTGTAAGCACTCAGACCTCTGGTTCTTACTCCACTTCTGCAGTGTTCTTTCTGTCCCAAGGGGCTGAGACTTAAAACTCCTGTGAGTGGCTCCCATTTGACAGTTGTTGCCACTGAGATTAAAATCTCAGCGGGATGATGTCTCAGTGGGTGTGGCTTGACTGGTTTTAGTTCCTGAGGCCTTGAGGAAGGAAGCTTTAGCTTTGCGATGCTTTTCGATCAGTTTTAGTGGATTCTTTCATGCTGGGTTGGGACTGTGGAGGAAGCACCCACCCTGGTATCCTCTGCCATTACAGACATCTGTTCACTTGAAGGTGATTCTGAGTTTGTAGTCAGTGTTACAGAAAAGGGCTGGAAGCTGTCCTACTAAGAGGGCTTATTCACTGTGACCTCCAGTTAACTGAAGCCAAGGGTTGTTGGAGGAGACCCACATCTGACCTGGTGCAGCCTTTTTCCCTGGGAATGCTTTTGACCTTGACACTCCAGCCTCAAGTAGGTGCAGCATAGTAGTTCTTTTTGCATTTAATGCCCATCACGTTCCTTATCCCAAATAAAATTCACCCATACTAATGGACATAATTTCTAAGTTTCTTCTCTACTATTACACCTTTGAAGGGATACTTAGCCATGTTGTCATAGATCCTTGGTTTATCCCGTAACTCAATTCTATTTGCAAACTGCCCTAGCAGTTGCTGTAGCCAACAGTTGTGTTTGGTAGATGACTAAGGTGTCAGAACCCTTGACTCTAGTGATATGACAGTCCCTTTCATGTCCTGTGGTATCTGTGCTTTCAGCTGGGGTTCTTGGTATAAGTGCAGCCACAGATGGCTTGCTGGATTTAGGACGGAGACAATATTTACTACTGCTCAGTACAGTCTCATCTAAACTCCAAAAGATGGTTTGGGAAAACATGGTATAATTAGTGATAGTTAAATACACAATCCTTGGGATTCAGTCTGTGTAACCTTTTCTTATATGGGGTTTTATTTGCCAGCTTAAAAGTACTCTTAAGAGCAAATTATGGAAGAATAATTTGATGTCTTTGAAAAACTGAAGTTTGTATTCTTTGTATTAAAATCTGAAATGAATTTCTACCTATCTTTTGGTATAGGATCTTGCCAGTAGTCTGTTTTGGTGGGAATTTGGTTGTGCTTTCTTTTAAGGAAATCAGCCATCAGACTCATTTCAATCAACTCAGCTCTTTGTTGCTCTAAGTGGTTTCAGTTCTTTCCAGAAGGGCAGCCTGATATTCCTTACCTTGAAGCTTGCTTTGTCTTGGCTCTATTTAAAGTAAACGACTCATGCTTCACAAACCTTGAGAATGTGCTGCAAGTACGAAGCAGTGCTGAGAACACTGGTTTTGAGTGTCACACAGATCAAGTCTGTCCTGGCTCCCGGTGTTAGGCCAATCCGTTACATCTGTAAGATGGGGACAGAGCCTGTCACCATACAGGGCTGTAATGAGTAAGTTGAAGCCTAAGTGCCCGGCATACAACATCTCTTCATTGTTTTCTTGTCTGAAGCACTGCCATGATACCTAGCAGGCAAACTCCAAACCTAACATGTCATTACCATCATGTCTTCTCATAGCTGACACCTGCCAGAACAGGTTCCATTTCCAGAAACATGGCCATGCCTAACCAAAATCCCCAAAATGAAATCATTTTTAGGAACCCTGTCGGGCTCTGGTGCAGGAAGTGTGAGAATAGTTTCCATGGTGACACTAGTCTGTTTCTCTACCAGAGTGTCTAATATGAGTCATACTCCAAGTGTTTTGTTTGTTTGCCTTGGTAAGAGTGACTCAACATTTTTTTTTTTTTTTTTTTTTTTTATTCCGAGACAGGGTTTCTCTGTGTGGCTTTGGAGCCTGGAACTCACTCTGTCATTCTGTAGACCAGGCTGGCCTTGAACTCACAGAGATATACCTCTGCATCCTGAGTGCTGGGATTAAGGGCATGCATCACCACCTTCCCAGCAGTGACCCAACATTCTAAAGACTCAAAATGAAGTAATATTGAATACAGTCATACACACAAAGCTTCCTTGGTGTGTAAGGGATTCCCAGCATCCATGAAAAGAATCCTGAGCTTTCTCCACGTCTCACCACATATAGAAGTCTGTTTACCTGGATTCTCTTAGCTGGTTTAAGACCTGAAAGAAAATGTACAGTCAAGTGCTTTTAGGTAAATGCTTTATTTTCTGTCAGATTTTATAAAAGGGCTTTCTCCTGAGTAGCTGGCATACAGCAGCTAAGTAAATGTATCCAGAACTAAAAATATGTAGTCTAAGTAGTCTTTCACTATTTTCATAATTCTCCATTTGTTTTCCCTTTATTGATTTTAGCTCTTTGTTCTAGTCTTCTGCCACTGTAAAATCAATCCCAAAAGTGCCTTGACAAGAGATGGCCTGCGTCTCTGACAAAAGAGCACCGGGCAGTATTGGAAACCTGACTCAGGAAAAGTAAGGCCTGAAAGGCAAATGCCCTGGGACCTGCAGGAGAGGAGAGCAAAGCATCCCAGGTGCGAAGAGCACTAAAGAAGAGGGTGTGTCCTCAATGCTCCAATACCCAGAATTTTCCAGTGATTTCCATAAAAACAAAAGAAAAAACAGGCAAGGCATGGTGGCATATGCCTGTAATATCAGCCCTCGGTTTAAGACGGGTATTTTGAATTAGAAGCCAGTTGGGGCAACAGATAAGACTGTAAAACAAAATCACTTTTCCAAAGATGGGAATACCAAGATCCAGGGGTCAAAATACATCTCTTAGGAAAGTGTTCCAAACCCCAGAGTGGGTTCTGGGCAGCTTCCAGGACCATCCTATGGGGATCTGGCTGGGCTGGCATCAGATCACCTGCAGTATAACTTCCATTTGGCCTGTAGTCCCCAGGCCATCAGGTGTCTGCCTTCTCAGCAGACAAGAACTGCCACTTGGCCTGGTGGACACTCACTTCACAGCTTCTCAAATGGGAAGAGATGGGAGGCCTCTGCGGCCCGCCTCTTGCGGGTCATCTTAGAGTACTCAGGCTTCTCCTCTTCCTTAGCTTCTCGGTTTTGCGGCCAGGAGGCAGCCAGGACTCTTGCTGCTTCTGCTTGTGAGCTGGTCCCTTCCTCTTCATCAGAAGAGAGTCCACCTCCTGCATTTGCATGGGGAGCTACTGCCTCACTCTGAGGGGAGACAGTGGAGGGGGCACAATTAATGGCTAGCTGACTTTAAAAGGCAGCAAAGTTCCCCAGAAGAACCCAGTCTTGGGTCTGAGCCCTTTGGAAGACAAGGGTTCTGGGTGGTGCTGGGAGAGTCCAGGCAGCCTTACTGGCCTTCCCCAGTCTAGCTTACCCATGCACATACTTAAATGAGAACTGCTGGTAGAAAGAGGGTGCCCAGGTGGGCAGCTCAGTTGAGTCCAGGGGCAAACAGCTGCTGCTGTGCATATCCCCTCACTCTGACACACATGCATGCTATTTTCAACTGTTCAGTGCTCAGGACCAAACTTCAGCACTAAGGGATCTGAGGCGGTATCCCTGGAGGCTGGCTAGGCTAGCTGGGGGGGAGGGGTCCTGGATAGAAAGGAAGGCAGTGTATGGGTAGCCAGGAGCCAGTGAGAACAAGTCAGATGAAGGGGTCCCTAACAGGATTCAAATGAGCACATGACTAAGGTGTCTTTAGCAGGCATATAGGCAATGGGAAGAGAGGTAGATCATAAAGGGAAAAGAACATTCAGGCTATTGCCTGATGACTCTGACTTAGTACCATCACACAACTACACTAGGTTCTGCCTGTATGGAGATAAAAAACCCTCCCACAACCCAGCACTGCAGGTGTGTGGAGTATGCAGGCCCAAAGCTGGTCACAGTACTGGGAATTCTGGAAGTCAAGAGTTAGACACAGAAGGCCCAACACACCTAAACTGCCTACATGGACCTCTGCATCGAACTAGACCAAGCACAGGTGTCCAGGTTAACAGGGCACAGGCAGGGCAGGAACCGCTAGCTGAGGTCAACAGGTAGGCTTCCTAATATAAAGGCACCAATTCTGTGATGTCACAGAATCTGGGCCAGTGACTGAGTTGTAAGCAGGCTGTTTCATCTACAAAGGTCCGGTGCTGACCTTGGCCCCATATCGCAGTTGCAGCCTCTCTCTGATGAGTAGTCCTCTGACCAGTAGCTTCCAATTCCCCAGTGCCCGCTTCTCCTTTTTCTGCAGGCAGAAATAAAGGGAGGAAAGGCCGAAGCCATGGCATCATCAGAAAAATGTTAAGGCAGAGCCTGACATTCTGATATCTATCCGTAGTTCAGGTTGGAAGAGTCTTCCTGCCTGGGGAGATGCCCAGTGGTTAAAGCATTTGCTGCATGAGTATAAGGACAGAGTTTGGGTTCCTAGAACTCACACATATGTTGTTGTGTCTGGCAGGCCTGCCAGAATTCCAGCCTCAGAGGGTAGAGACAGGAGCCCCACAGCAAGATGGCTAGTTATCAGTGGCTAACTCTTCCTCAATGAATAAGGTGGTAGAATGACTGAGGAGGGTTCCAGATACTAACCTTGGGCCTTCACATGCATCAGTGTGATCCACAAGCATGCATATACACCCCACCCCCACCCCACCCTAACACATGAAACACACATACACCACACACACACACACACACACAAAACACAGGGTCTCCCATCACACCCATCTTGCTTCCAAACCACAAGTCAGATTAGTAAGTGACAAATGTAAAAGCCATCAGTAACAAAGTCTTTTATAACCAACACTGACTAGAAGGCAGTGACCAGGTCTAGGACCTGGGCCTTCCAAGTCAGGGCCCAAAGTCCCTGAGCCTGCATGCAGGCAAGTAGGGGATAAGACAGTGGGCATGGAGTGTGGGAGGAAGCTGTTTTACTCAGCACTAACCCCTGGAATGCCCTCCACCAAGTCAGAGCACCAGAAGAGCTAACACTCAGACTTTCCCATCTTCTTCCATGGTGCAGGAGTGGCCTGGACAGGGGATCCCAGCTGGAACTTGCTGCTCTCCTCTAAGACCCCATTCACACTACTCACCTCCTTCTCCTTCTTTTCAATGATGGCTTGTTCATTCTCCCAAGCAGCCAGCAGCACATCTTTGAATTCCTCACAGACAATGTAACCATCAGTTCTGTTGGGACGGTAATACAGGTGAGCTCCTATCCTACCCCTTCTTGTTCAGAAGCCAGTGGCCTTTTCTGAGTACTTGGGGCCCTGATGGACATTCCTGGCCAGCCAGTGGTAGATGACACTCATGCAAGAGGAAGGCTTGTGGGAACCTGTACCTCTTCCTCCACAGCCTCTGCCTGAGTGCTAGAGTAAGAGCCCTCAACCCTAGTCCCCACTTCACACAGGAGCACTCAGGAACCAAGGACACTGATCATGATTTGGTCCCAGCCTGTGACCAGCACTAGGAGGCAGTGCTTCAGTTTAGAAGTACCAGGACACCGCACTGAGTCTGCTACTTCTTAGAAGCTGGGACTGATTAGGAGATAAGGCTGACTTTAAACCCAGAGACAAATCTGGAAAATAAGTGCCACCAGCCTCAACCTCCCCACCTGCCACCGAAGGTCCCTCACGCACACTGGATGGCAGTAGCCTCCATGGAAATCGAAGCCAGTGATGGCCTGCACACAGTCGATGCCCAGCTTGCGGGCCACACGGTGCAGGTTGGGCAGGTTCATCTGGACACAGCCGATAGGCATCATGCTGGGCAGGAAGAGATACACGTTCCCAAACTCATTCCGAGGTACCTGCGGAGATGAGCATGACAGGAAGTGGTTGGATGGAAAACAGGGCAGCCTACTCTGACTCCCCAGAGTTGTCCTTACCTTCCCATCTACGGCCACAGGGGGCTGATACTCTTCTGTCTGCCAGTGACCATAGAGGGCCAAGTCATTGTAGTCATGCAGCTGGGGCTCCGAAAGCCGGGCTTTCCGGGCGCGGTTGGAGAAGCCTTTCACCATCTACTCCAGAGGAAATGGCCAGCTTGTAAGAAAGGCTTTCTGCCCTGGGAACTCAGCTCACACCAGGCACTGAGCACTGCCATTCCGACACAAGTGGGCCTTCACTAGCTAGCCCCTGCAGGGAGCACACGTTCTCGGTG